TATAACGAGTAAGTATTAAGTAAAACATTGCGCTGACCCGAATAATTCGAAGGTCACTAGACTCATGACCCGATCGACCCGCAATCCAATGAACTTAACTAACCCGTAATCCAATGAACTCACACCGACTGACCCGTAATCCGATAAACCCAACCCAACTGACCCACAATCCGATAAACATGAAACCCGACTAACCCAAAACCCAATTAAACCCAACCAGAATTAGTTCGAATCCACCGAATCGACACCTCTATCTATAATGACCTACTCGCAAACTTTTTTTTTTACTTCATCGCATATCTTTTATGAAGGAAACAATCATATATTTTTAAGATAACCATTTTTAGTTAGGAAATTAAATAAAAAAAATATACATTTATAAATGCGATAAACGGCACATTTCAAAAACAACCTAACACTTATCTCCTCCCATCGGGTTAGGGAGGTTGGGAGTAGGAAATAAAAAAGGCATTGGATTTTTAGTTATTCTGCTCAACGTGGCATTTCTCAATTGCTATGGCCTATGGGTCTCGCTTTCTTCCCTCCTTCAAGCAAAATACGGTTACACTCCTAGGCTGCTAGGCTGTGTCCTATGTCCTATGTGCAGACACAATTTTATTTTATAAGTACTTCTACAAAAAAAAAAATTATAACTACATATATGGTAGAAATAAATTTTCTAAAAATTAAAAAAAGTTTAAAATCAGTTTTATTACTAACGAGTAAGTATTAAGTAAAACAATGCGCTGACCCGAATAATTCGAAGGTCGCTAGACTCATGAACCGATCGACCCACAATCCAATGAACTTAACTAACCCGTAATCCAATGAACTCACACCCGACTGACCCGTAATCCAATAAACCCAACCCAACTAACCCACAATCCGATAAACATGAAACCCGACTAACCCAATTAAACCCAACCAGAATTAGTTCGAATCCACCCAATTGACACCTCTATCTATAATGACCTATTCGCAAACGTTTTTTTTTTACTTCATCGCATATCTTTTATGAAGGAAACAATCATATATTTTTAAGATAACCATTTTTAGTTAGGAAATTAAATAAAAAAAAATATACATTTATAAATGTGATAAACGGCACATTTCAAAAACAACCTTACACTTATCTCCTCCCATCGGGTTAGGGAGGTTGGGAGTGGGAAATAAAAAAGGCATTGAATTTTTAGTTATTCTGCTCAACGTGGCATTTCTCAATTGCTGTGGCCTATGAGTCCCGCTTTCTCCTCTCCTCCAAGCAAAATACGGTTACCCTCCTAGCCTGCTAGGTTGCTAGCCTGTGTCCTATGTGCAGACACAATTGCTTTTTTTTCCCCCTAAAATACAATCTGCCACAACCCACTCGTCATATTCTCATTAGTTATACTCTACTTTTATCGTCCTTAAAATCTAGGGTTAATATTTCTGTATGGCATGAACTTTGACCAAAATAAACATCATAGCCAATCTTTTCGATCTATAACATCCTGGCCCGAACTATGCATCAAAATAAACAATTTGGCCAGATCCGACTTTTGACCGTTAACTTGGACGGTCAAACGCGTTGACTAATGGTCAACGCGCCATGTCACTACCAACTCAGCAAATTTCAATTTTTTTTTAATTTACACCTATTTCCATTTTCTTTCTTTTATCATTTTGAAGGAAAAAAAATTAAAACAAAAAATGGGCTATTTCCATTCTTCATCTCTGTCTTCCTCGTCCCATTCTTAATCTCCCCCTCCTTAACCCCTCGGCCGCTTCCACCCATGCCACCATCACCCGCCGCCGCCGTCGCTTACCTTTCTGCCCTACGATTCCCCCATCTATCACCCTTCCTCGCCACACAGCCCAAATTCCACCACCACCATTTTGTCCACTCCCCAGCTCAGATCGATAATGATAACCTTAGCCACACATTTCCTCCCCCAACTCAAATCCAGTTTTTGTCCCCTTTCGAAACCCACTCTGCTTAATCGCCTTCTTTATAATCCCCTGTTTCCCCCCACCCATTCTTGGCAACTCAAATCCCTGTAAAACCCATCCACAATGGGTTGCGCCTCCTCCAAACGAATTGAGGCCACCGTCGACATCTACCACCCCCTCCATCCAGCTTCTCCGTCTTCGATATAACCTCCGTCCAGGAGCCCTGACTCTCCTCCGCCAACGATCAGCAGCCCGAATTCGAGAAACGCGCCGGCAACAACTTGAATGTCCCCAACCCTCTGCTCGACAAGCTTCAGAAATTCGAATCCCCTGACGTCGCTCCTCGTTCCTAGGACGAGGTCAGCAAGGCCCTCGAAGACGACCTCAATTGAAATTTTGTTTTATTGTTTATTTTTTTCTTTCAAAATGATAAAGAAAAGAAAATGGAAAGAGGTGTAAATTTAAAAAAATAATTGAAATTTGTTGAGTTGGCAGTGACATGGCGCGTTGACCGTTAGTCAACGCGTTTGACCGTCCAAGTTAACGGTCAAAAGTCGGATCTGGCCAAATTGTTTATTTTGATTTATAGTTCGGGCCAAGATGTTATAGATCGAAAAGATTGGCCAGGATGTTTATTTTGGTTAAAGTTCAGGCCATACAGAAATATTAAATAATTTTCCGGATTAATTAATTAAAATAATTCCGGTAAATGCGATAAACGACACATTTCAAAAACAACCTAACACTTATCTCCTCCCATCGGCACATTTCAAAAAACAACCTAACACTTATCTCCTCCCATCGGGTTAGGGAGGTTGGGAGTGGGAAATAAAAAAGGCATTGGATTTTTAGTTATTCTGCTCAACGTGGCATTTCTCAATTGCTATGGCCTATGGGCCCCGCTTTCTCCCCTCCTCCAAGCAAAATACGGTTACCCTCCTAGGCTGCTAGGCTGTGTCATATGTTCAGACACAATTTTATTTTATACGTACTTCTACAAAAAACTTTTTATAACTACATATATGGTAGAAATTAATTTTCTAAAAATTAAAAAATGTTTAAAATTAGTGTAAGTTATAACGAGTAAGTATTAAGTAAAAAAATCCGCTGACCCGAATAATTCGCAGGTCGCTAGACTCATGACCCGATCGACCCGCAATCCAATGAACTTAACTAACCCGTAATTCAATGAACTCACACCCGAGTGACCCGTAATCCTATAAACCCAACCCAACTGACCCACAATCCGATAAACATGAAACCCGACTAACCCAAAACCCAATTAAACCCAACCAGAATTAGTTTGAATCCACCCAATTGACACCTCTATCTATAATGACCTATTCGCAAACTTTTTTTTTACTTCATCGCATATCTTTTATGAAGGAAACAATCATATATTTTTAAGATAATCATTTTTAGTGAGGAAATTAAATAAAAAAATATACATTTATAAATGCGATAAACGGCACATTTCAAAAACAACGTAATACTTATCTCCTCCCATCGGGTTAGGGAGATTGGGAGTGGGAAATAAAAAAGGCATTGAATTTTTAGTTATTCTGCTCAACGTGGCATTTCTCAATTGCTATGGCCTATGAGTCCCGCTTTCTCCTCTCCTCCAAGCAAAATACGGTTACCCTCCTAGCCTGCTAGGTTGCTAGCCTGTGTCCTATGTGCAGACACAACTGCATTTTTTTTCCTCCTAAAATACAATCTGCCACAACCCACTCGTCATATTCTCATTAGTTATACTCTACTTTTCTCTTCCTTAAAATCTAGGGTTAATATTTCTGTATGGCCTGAACTTTGACCAAAATAAACATCATAGCCAATCTTTTTGATCCATAACATCCTGGCCCGAACTATGCATCAAAATAAACAATTTGGCCAGATCCGACTTTTGACCGTTAACTTGGACGGTGAAACGCGTTGACTAACGGTCAACGCGCCATGTCACTGCCAACTCAGCAAATTTCAATTTTTTTTTAATTTACACCTATTTCCATTTTCTTTCCTTTATCATTTTGAAGGAAAAATAAAACAAAAAAGGGCTATTTCCATTCTTCATCTTTGTCTTCCTCGTCCCATTCTTCATCCCCCTCCTTAACCCCTCGGCCGCTGCCACCCATGCCACCATCACCCGCCGCCGCCGTCGCTTACCTTTCTGCCTTGCGATTCCCCCATCTATCACCCTTCCTCGCCACACAGCCCAAATTCCACCACCACCATTTTGTCCACTCCCCTGCTCAGATCGATATTGATAACCTTAGCCACACATTTCCTCCCCCAACTCAAATCCAGTTTTTATCCCCTTTCGAAACCCACTCTGCTTAATCGCCTTCTTTATAATCCCCTGTTTCCCCCCACCCATTCTTGGCAACTCAAATCCCTGTAAAACCCATCCACAATGGGTTGCGCCTCCTCCAAACGAATTGAGGCCACCGTCGACATCTACCACCCCCCTCCATCCAGCTTCTCCGTCTTCGATATAATCTCGGTCCAGGAGCCCTGACTCTCCTCCGCCAACGATCAGCAGCCCGAATTTGAGAAACGCGCCGGCAACAACTTGAATGTCCCCAACCCTCTACTCGACAAGCTTCAGAAATTCGAATCCCCTGACGTCGCTCCTCGTTCCTAGGACGAGGTCAACAAGGCCCTCGAAGACGACCTCAATTGAAAATTGTTTTATTGTTTATTTTTTTCTTTCAAAATGATAAAGAAAAGAAAATGGAAATATGTGTAAATTAAAAAAAAATAATTGAAATTTGTTGAGTTGGCAGTGACATGGTGCATTGACCGTTAGTCAACGCGTTTGACCGTCCAAGTTAACGGTCAAAAGTCGGATCTGGCCAAATTGTTTATTTTGATGTATAGTTCGGGCCAAGATGTTATAGATCGAAAAGATTGGCCATGATGTTTATTTTGGTTAAAGTTCAGGCCATACAGAAATATTAACCCTAAAATCTATCTCCACACTTTTCTAATGTTGGTGGAAAATTCTATTTGTCATTTTCCCTGCCCTGTTTTTGTCTGCCCTGCTTTCTCCCATCAGCTCTAAGCCTCTAACAATGGCGGTGCCAAGAACTCTCAAGCTGGCTCGCCGATTGGTACGGGAGAGGAAGCAAATGGCGAACGACATCTCTCAAACTGTCGTTAAGAAGTTGAAAGAGGAGAAAGCAGATTCCATTCTTTCCATCTTCTATGAGAGAGCTAAGACCTCCTTTTTCTTTGGTGGGACGCTCGTTTCACTTTCATGTCTGGCATACTGGGAGGGCAAAACGACGGAGCTCCTCACAGCTGCGCTTCTGGAGGAAAATCTGTCAGGGAAACAGTATGGAAGAGAACGATTGAAGGCGTGATTAATCACTCTCCTTAGAGTGTTATTTGCCCCCACTACTTTGTTGCTGGTAGGAATTAGGCAAACCACCCCCAGGAGTCCCTTCAACCAAAGTCTGAAAGCAGCAACCTTTCTGACTTCTGTGTTTGTGTTTTTGAAGAAGGAAAACGAGGAGAAGAAGAAGAACGTTGGAACAGAAATTCGGCTGCAGAAGACTTTTATAGTGAAAACGGCAGTTCCCTTCCGAAGGGTTGCGTCGTTTCACAAAACTCAAAATTAAATAATTATTCGGATTAATTAATTAAAATAATTCCGGTAATTAATTAGCCAAAAATTCAAACGTGCAAAGTGCGATTTAATATGTCCAATTAAATAGCCCACACTTTTTCCAAAAGCCCACTAACCACTTTATCTAATAACTAAAGTGGAAAGCAAACTTAAAAACAACTTGCACTTTCTTTCTCCCACCAATGTGGTATTTTCTTTACTCTTTGACTACTCTAACAAAATCTTCTCCAACTTGGTCATGAAATTGTTAATGATGTTGAGAATGTGCTCGTGAAGGAGAAGAAGCAATTAGAGGAGGAAAACAGGAAGCTCTACGTCCAGCGTCAGATCTGTGAGACACAACTCCTTGAGACGAAGAAGAGGTTTGGAGAAATGATGGCGAAGATGACTGGGATGAAAATGGATGAAGCCAAGGCGAGCAGTAAGTAAGTTCGTTATCACTAATCACCGCCACAACCTGCCTGAGGCAGAGGAAGTTTTGCTAGTAGTTCCGATTTCACCTAACAATCTCGTATTTCCATTCCAGAGTTAAGTTATGCTGCGTTTTAACCACGAACAGGAAGTTTTCTTGTTAGTTTGCAAATAAATTTACATACATTGTCTCTGTTATGGGTTTGAATTTTGTATTTGCCGGCGAGATGACGGTGAATTGATTTTTATGTCGCTGGAGAGGGAAAACAGAAACAACAAAAGAAAGTTTAGAATGGTGTCTGTGATAGATAATATTGCGGGTCTTCTATGGTGCCATAATCGTATTACAGCATGAAATTACTGGTAATGCGGGGCTCATTTTTTGTTCTTCCTTTGTCGTTCTGGGTTTATCGAGCAGCAGGGAAAAGAAGCTCTGTTCCTGTTCTGCTGCTATTCTCCCCTTCCCCTTTTCAGCAGTGGCGGAGCCAGGAAATTGGCCAAGGGGGTGTCTTTATCATATCATAAAAATCACCTATACAATAGAAAAGTCAACTTTAAATTAAACAAAAAGTCAACAACGCAATACTCTAAATTCACACAATTACATCAAAATAGTTTCACGTACACCGGTTACAACGTCAAACAAATAAGTTCAGTACATACAAATCAAGACTTCCATTCATCAAATATTACAAATTAGAACTCAGAAGTACCTTGGAATTGATTTTGTGAAACAAACAAGTGAACTTCAATTGGTATTTCTTCACTTTCAACTTTGTTTAAACAAAAGACAAGAAATTTCTCTGTTGTAGAGCTAAAAAAAATGAGCGAGTTTAAATAAAAGACAACAATTTATCACTATAAATAAAGACGAAAGTGCATTACATAACAAAACTCACTCGATCGAAATGATAAGAAATTCTTTCTGCAACTGAATAGTCATTGGTTGGAATTTGTATATACCCCTACTCGAAAAAAATTTCTCCAAAGCCAAGGGGAGTGCAAAGCACCCCCTCCTCTCCAAGTGGCTCCGCCACTGCTTTTCAGTGTATGCTTTTCTTTCTTCTAGTAACTAACTGATTCAACGAAAAACGTAGCAAGTGTGAACCCTCTGCATTTCAGTAATATATGCTTCCTTAGGGATGGCAACTTTGCCCATACCCATGGGTTTCTTACTATCCAACTCAATTGGGTTGGGTATGAAATCCAAATAGATGGATATGGGTAGAGTTTGATGGGTTTGTACCATGGATTACGAAACCGTACCGGACATCAAACCAGAATCGTCTTTGGCATGGTAAATCGTGGTACAACCATGGTTCAACCGTTTCATACCGGTAAATACCGTTTTTGGAATTAAAAAATTATTTTTTTGTTAAAAAACCGTACCGGCAAAATTAGGGTACCATACCGGGAAAATACCGGAATAAAACCGGATTATACCGCCTAAGAAACTAACATTTTCTCAATCTGAAACAACATTTCAGCTCTTCCTCACTTGTAATTTCATAAAAAAGAAAGAAAAATGATTTGCACGACGTATTATCAAACACACATCCAAATACACCACAACTTCAAATTTCTGGCATTAGCATCAACTTTAATCGTGCTTCCGTTCATAAATGGTAAATCTATTTACAAAACTTAAAATTATGATTATGTGAAGTCTTATAAATCAAACATAAAAGTAAACGTCATGGATAATAAAAATAACAAAAGCTATTAATTAGATTAATGTTACCTAGAGGGCAGGGGCCCAAAAAAGATGATGACATTGTCCATTTTGAAAGAAACTTAAAAAGAAGGGGGGAAAGGAAAATCACAATTCCAAAACATCATCAAAACCAATTCCTCGTTAACTCCGCTCTTTCTCTTTATTCTTAGTTCCCCACTCTGCGAATCCATTCTTCATCTTAATTTTGATATCCAATTTTATCAAATTCTGCTTTTGATGTCTTTGTCCGTAGCAGTTGAGGTTTCCAGTTTATTGAGGGAGAATCGTTCACCAATCTATTCTTCCCTTTTCTATTTGATCTTCTTCGTTCCTGTTCAGCTTGGACACCAAAATTTGGCAGTCTGTGTCCCCTATCGAAGGCAAGAGACCTCTCCTCTCAGCTTCAATTATTCCCATCCACAAAACTCTAACTTCTGCTTCTTCAAGGCTGCATGCAACCTCCCTTTTCTTTCTGTTCAAAACCCAGAACAGAGTTTCCATCAGAATCCCTCACCACTCCTCCTAGCTCGATTCCGCCTTCTCCAAAGTTAATAGATGCCCTATGGTGGTTTGAACCACTGTTTGCAATCCCGATGTGCCATGCAAATATGGAATATACTTCCTCTGCACCTGAGGGGAATCATCTATGGCAGAGCGGCACGGGGAGAGGGAGAACGGCGCAGGGATAGGGAGAGGAGAGGCAGAGCGGCGCGGGGAGAGGGAGAGGAGAGGCAGAGAGAAGACTGAAGAGCGCTTGCTGTGGCCGGCCGAAGTTAGGTTTTCGCGTCTCTGCTTCCCTTCCCTTTTTTTTTTTTAACTCGCGTAAAAACGGCGCCGTTTTACTTAAATGAAACAAACCGCCGGGTTTATTAAAACCGGCCGAAATTTCGGCCCATTGCGGTCCAACCGCAAATACCGCCCGACAGGAATTTGAAGGGTACAAATACCCTATTGGGCCGTTTTACCTCCGGTTTCCGGTATTCCCGGTCCGGGTATGATTAGATGGATCATGTATGACGTTATGGGTTTAAATCAAATGGATTTGGGTTTGTACCCATGCCCAAATACAAATTACAGTTTGGTACCCAAACTTAATAGATATGCATATTTAGTACCTAAATTTAATTTTTTTTGCATATAAGTTCTCAAAATATCGATGGAAAATTACGTTTTGGTACCTAAATTTTTTTGGTTTTACATTTTGGTACCTAAACTTTTCAAGTTTTGCAAATAGGTCCAATTTTTGCATGTGTAGTTAAAACACCCTCAAGTAAATGGATATCCATATCCAACCCATACCCATTTAGATTGTGGAAGCCCCAAACCCAAACCCATCTATAAACCCCCAAATCCATATGCACTTCACCCATACCCAACCCATTATCAATGGGTCTACTTGGGTTTGGGTATAATTACCCATAGGTGGGTAATTTGCCATCCCTATTTCCTGTACCCGATGCATTTACAGCAGACCTTTCCTCAATTCCCACTAAATTGTAAGCATATACTGATATTAATGTTATACATCGATTCCAGACCATCTCCTGGAGTACATTGTTGATAAGCTTGCAGACCAAGTCTAGATGAAAATATGCAGCTGATTTCAAAATAACAGTAGGCTGCACTAAAATACAAAAAGCAGTTCCACATTGTCCTCATTGATATTGTAAAGTGAGTCTTCACGCTAGGCAGCTGAAGAAAATAATGACAACTTCATTTTCTTCTTACATAAGCCAACAAGAACTCAGAAGTAGAAAGAATGACTCAAGGGATTCACATCGTTTGGGTCTTGGGGCACATGAAAGTTCAATTGCAGCTGAATTCGATGACAGCCATTAGTATTATGAGGAACAACAAGGACGACAGCCACCGTCATGGGTTGTTTGCATTTCAAGTTAGACAGCTTCTTGAAAGAGATCGGAGAGTTCATATCTCCTATGTTCATAGGGAAAGAAATTTTGCGGCCTGACTTCTTAGCTTGTAAAGGCCATAATGCTTCTTTTGGTACACATCCTTTCGATGTAGAGGATCCGGGTATGATTAGATGGATCATGTATGACGTTATGGGCATCGCCAAACCCCGCTTTATTAGCAATGTTAATTAGGTCCGTCCTTCTACCCAAAAAAGAAAGAAAGAATGACTCAAATTCAACAATGTATTAACAAACTTTCTCAATCTGAATAGAATAAAGACCATGAACATTATCAATGTTAGAACTATGCGATAGAGTATTTATTTAAAGGATACATAAGAAAGTTAGCAAATGAACATGGGATTACTTAATCACTTATAAAAAAATTCTTATGTCCATTCTTGGTAATCTCCTTCAGGTGCTACTAGAGGGAGAAGGGAAGTTCAGCCATTGAGAATCGAACACACGACCTTACAATGAGAAGTGTGCCGACTCACTAGATAGGTTACCCCTCGTTCGCAACAACACGAATACTTAGTCTCCTACGCAACATGAATACTTGTAAGGTTTGGAGGTTTTCCCCCTATTCTGCCGAAAAACAAAACTGAGGAAATTTAATTAATTAATGAAAAGAAATACAAAAAATCCTTGGACGGAGAAGGGGTTCTCCGATTGGTGGTTTGGGCCACTTTTAGTGGGCTACTGAGTTGGGTTGGAATTTAATTAATTCAGCACATGCATTAAGATACGAAGGCTTCTTATTCCACAACAACGAAAGTATTTTTTCACTCTTTCATATACTAGGGGATTTCACTTGGAAAAGAAAATGCTCCATACTAAGGGATTCGGCTTGTAAACGGTTATCCCGTTAACAGTGTAATCGATAATCGAACTGGTACCGTTTATTTAAAGGCTAAACGGATAACCGATTAAATGGTAAACGCTCGATTTCCGGTAGTCAAATTTAGCTAATAACTAACCGATGGTTAAATAGTTAATAACCGGCAGTTAAACGCTTAACTGACTAACCAATTACGACCATCCTCATAGTTAGAGCCAAAAATAATAGAGCTCCATGAGCTGCAAACATAGGCCGAAAATAATGAGGTGTTTGAGGCTTACAAGACCTCTTGCCTATCGTAGTGGTAATAGTGACTTAGACTCAAATGAGAATAATTTAAAGAAAGAGTTTAAGAAGTAGCACAATCAAAAGTCAGACTTGCGCATAGTTGCTCGACAACAATCAGTAACATTAAGCTCCATATAACTTGGTGGGGTTTATGAGTTGACTAATTGTTGTTGGGTCTCTTAACGTTGTATGCTTCTTCAATAAAGTTTGATGGTAGAATGGTATTATTGGGGTAATTTATTATCATAAAGGGTCACAAATCTTTGTAATTAGTACAAAATGGTCACAAATCTTTGTAATTAGTACAAAATGGTCACAAATCTTTAATTTGTAACGATACGGTAACAAAAATTTGTACATATAACAAAACGGTCACAGATTAAACTGAGTGACTATTTTATACAAGTTCAAACTTATGTTACCATGTCGTTACAAATTAAATTTTTGGTGACCATTTTGTACAACATTCAAAGGTTTGAACGATCAATCACTATTACAATTAGCTCCAGTCGAGGTATGATGGCTTTGTTAATTTATGTGAATGATATGATCGTAATCAATGTAGTTAAAAGCGAGTTTCTACGTAGAAACATTTTGGTGATGTAGAAGCATAAAATCGTAAGTTTTTAAGTACTAAAGCGGAGTTTCTAATTACATAAGTTATAAAAACTGAGATTTTGTGTAGAAGCATTTTAGTGACCTAGAAAAGTAAAATCGTAAGTTTTTAAGTTTTAAAGCGCGATTTTAGTTGAAAACAACAAAGGATGACAATGAGGGAATTCAACGCCTCACAAATGGGTTACATGCTACTTTTTAGTTGAAAAAACTCAACCTACATTCTTACTTTCTTGGCACCGGAATTAAAAGGTAAATAGAGGGCATTCTTATTCGGCAAAGCAAAGTACATCGATGAAAACACGACCCAACATCTCATATGTTGTTCAAGTGGTTATACTTGTATATGGAATTTGTTAACACATGGAGGATCTTGGTGGGTTGCTTGGATATACTTGGAGGATAAAAGATTACTCTTTTTGGGCAATAACAGCAAGGAGTACTTGCTCCTAGGTTTGGAAACGAATATTGAAAGTCAAGGATAGAGTTGAAGGATACTTGAATTGCTAGGGAACACATGTGTTTTGGAATGATAAAAGGATGGTTACTTACTCTGTCAAGACTGTATGGGGGGACCTGCAACCAAGGCAACCTGTAGCTTGGTTTCAACTCATATGGAGTAAATAATCTATTCCCAGGCATAGCTTTCTTAGCTGGCTAGTGGTGAAGAGCAGGTTATATACTTTGCTGAAGAGCAGGTTATATACTTTTGACAAACTTAAGTGTTGAGGGAAGGTGGGAGAGGGAACATGTAAACTTTGCTCTGCAAATACAGAAACTAGAACTCATCTTTCTTTTTCCAGCTACCTTTATTCACTTAGTGTGATGCAAGGATGCCAGCAACTGCTTCAAGTTACCTGTCCCATCTTCTCCACCTACGATGAGTATCTATCATGGACTGTTACTAAATTTAGAGGCAAGAAGGCTGCTACTTTGATGGGAAGACTGGTTTGGAATGTCACAATAAGTATGATTTGGCGTGAAAGGTGCTTAAGAGTCTATGAAGGTAAAGCCAAGTCCAGTGGGGAGGTAGTATCAATTGTTAGAAGGCTGGTTGAGCTAGCAAGGGTTGGTAATCTGAATCTAAATTCCGACTGTAGTAGTGTATTTTTGTAACCAATATAGGCTTGTATAGACAGTAGGAAAAAGTGACAAGAGGGAGTACACTTTCAGTAGAACTGCAGATTGTAATAGATGGATTCTTCTTCTCCTAGTTAGGGGGGATTGCATTGTGTTTATTAAATTTTTTTTGATATTGCCCATAAAAAAAGCCCAAATCAATTTCTACTTGAGCCCACATGTTTATAATACGTTCTCCTTTCGATGCTTTGAGTGCCTTGGTGATCCATATTCGTCTTGAGTGCATTATATCCTTAAAAATCACAAAACAACCAAAATACATAAAATAGTACAAAAACATACTCAAGATCTATCATAAGAACATTATTTCAATAGTTATGAATTTCATATGAAATATAATAAAAACTACTAAAAATGCATTGATAGAAGGGGAAAATGTATCAAATATGGGAGTGATAAATACTATAAATTGAGAGTCGATACACCACACTTGAACTTTAATTGTTCCCAAGAAAACACTACTCACAATCATACAACTCAATGAAAACCAAGGAACATCACTCAACCCCAATCCCATGTAGTGGATCATAAGTGAACTTACAAGGTCAACAATAGCACGAGAGAATCCTAACCACATCAACATGCAAGACATCGTGCAATCCAATTCAATCATAAACGACTAAACATACATTGGAGTCTCACAACACATAGAGTGAAACTTTTAATAACTTTTTTAAGCACTTTTGAAATACCCTTTAAGCACTTTTAACTTTCTTCAAACACATACCCCCACTTTTCCTCTTTTGAACATAACTTTTTTATGAGTTTCTTATGTAATGAGCTCTCTATTTACTTAAAGCATTCGATCCTTATTAATTGAGCAAAAGCTAGAAGCTCTTATACATCAATTCTTGTGGAGCGTACGTCATCAAAACTACGGGGTGTCGGGTGCTTTACCCACACCCTTATTAACACATCCTCAATTTGGTTATCAATTCAACGAGTGGAAATTTTACTAGTACTAGAGAGGAACTAGCATAAACTTGTACCCCACTAAAGCTCAAATAGTACATCTTCCAAAATCCAATTTTGTGCAATGAGAAGATCTCTCACATGTTGGGCTTACCCCACACTTTATTTCTTAGCACTTACCATGGGAAATTCGAATGATGCGATTGCATCCTCATCCAGAAGTCAAGTGAGGTTAGGTTTGACTTCAGAGTGGCTTGAAGTCCCCTCCATCGAGCAAGATGAATTTTCTTCATTTATGAACTCCTTCATGATCTCTTGGATGGTGGTGGTATCTAGTTCCCTTCCTTGATCGAATTACATGTTGGTTTGATCATCAAGATTTATGATAGGTGGCTCCTCTTGAAGCTCATCCTTTGATTCAATAGGTTGAGTGTAACACCCTACCCTGCACATTTTGCCAAATCATATTGTTCATACAATTGTAGCGGAATTTAAAACTAGTGTTACATTAATTACCAAATTTACCCAAATAAAATTTCGACATGAATTACTCGCGTAATGGGCTAACAGTTCTTGCATCTAATCCTGCAAAAGAATTCATCTGAGTCCATGCATCCATAGAATAACATATATACTCACAAATGCATTGACTTTTCATAGCCATAGTCACAGTTTCATACTACACAACTACATACCATACTGATACATGCCATAATCGTCACAACTTACATAATTACACAAATATACACATATTATCAACTTTCCACACTTGTGGGTATCTCACACTACATCAGAAGCTAGTATGCACATGAAAATGTTCTCAAAACATATTTTACAAAAGGGTGTGAATCACTGGCCAAAATCCCGAGTAGTAGTCCAAGCACATAATAGTTGAAGACCATACCTCATCTTGCCTTCAACTCTTGCTCAGCTCCCACCTATACACCTATCTACTGCTACTGATGATGATGATCTGCTTACACATGGCATAAGCAGAGAAAAAGGATAAAGAGGGTCAACTCATGACTGAGTGAGACAATCATTGCATCGTGAGTTCATAACAAATTAAGCATAACCCTACCATACATCTAGCAATCAAGCCAAAACAATAGGATCGGACCTCAACCATCCTCATATCCCAATGGGCAAAAGACTCAACCACCTTGATTTATGCATATGCATCTTATCATGTTTTACTTATAGGCGCCTGGCTACTCCCATGTTAATAAATCTCCCGGGCCACCATACACACCCAACATCCCATAGGATGTGATCATACATACATACACCCATACCACCATAGGTGAAACCATACCCGACACCACTCTAGGTGTGGTCATATCGCGTGAATAATCTTCAGTCACCACCACATGAGAGGTGTGACTATCATGCATATCATAATCTTCAGTCAGCACCACAAGAGAGGTGTGACTATCATGTCATAACAAAGTAATAGCATGGGGAGCCCTAATTACTATGTAATTGACCGTGAGACC